AGCTTCCGTGGCTTTGAAACAATGTAACTGGACTTCGTGGCCTCAAAAATGGGCCCTCAAAAATAAGGGCGTTTCAAAAATACAAAAATAAAAAAGGGCGCGTTAAAAAAGGGAGTTCACTGATAAACATGCTGATGTCACCAAACTCTTGCAATTTTTTGGACCAAGAAATTTTGTGGATTCAAACAAAAAGACCGAGTGGATTTCGACAACAACTGGTTGGTGGTTGACCTACCCCTCTGAAAAATATGAGTCGGTTGGGATGATTATTCCCAACTGAATGGAAAAAGAAAAGCCATGTTCCAAACCACCAACCAGCCTATATAAGGTAGATTATACAAGTATCTAGGCTAACAACTGGATTTATGCTGAACACATCTACAGTTTGATGAGTAAAACAAAACTGGATAACTGCCGGGACTCTTCTATGTGGCTTTTGGTTCAAACTAGCAGATGTCAGGTTCCTGTAAAATTTGACTTGTGCCACGCTGTATCATATGTGCCACGGTCAAAACATGGTATATGTGGTATGGTCATCCCATCATTAGGAGGAAATCAGTGTACATATGTATATACATATATATATATATATGTATATATACCCTCTGGTAATTTAACATAGCTATGGAAAAACACAATTTATTATAGGTAAATCAACTATTTCTATGGCAATTTTCCATAGCTATTTTGACATAACCAAAGGGTATATATAATATACACATATGGAATATAAACCATAATTATTGGGCGTATGACTGAAAACTCGGGAGCGAGTTAGATACTCAGTAGTTAGGGGTTTATCCCTCACACAAATCCAATCCCACACTCAAATCTCTTTTCACCAATCACCAAGCCAAGTCTGGCTTCAAGGGCCCTGTGAGCCATAGATATTGCGAACACTTCCCTATCAGACATGTGCGTGTCATCCTTGCAATGCCAGCGTGGCTGAACAGAGCACAGGTTTTCATACGCCCTCAAGGGTGAGCAAAAATTGGCCACAGTTCATACTCCACCTTCTCAATGCTTCTACTTGAAGCAACGTTGGAACTCCATGCTTTCTCCTTTCTGCCAATCGATCTTCTTCAAATAGAGGGCAAGGTCCACGGCTTGGGTCATCTTGACCTTGTGGATGTCCTCATTGGCCGGAGAGAAATTGGACTGGATCCACTGCAGGTAGCGGTGGTGCTCACCATTTGACTCAGCCATCTTGATCAATTCCTCATAGGAAAGGTTGAGATCCTTGTACTTCTTCATCTTGATGATGGTGCGTCCCCAGTCTGCCACGGAGGCAACACCGGATGGCAAGGGAATGCCAAATCCCTTCGGCAGCAAGTCATGCTGAGCCAAAGGCTTGCTCCCACGGGGCTTCTCCTCAGAGCTCTTCGGCACGAGGATCGGAAACTCCGAGCCATTTGACACCTCATCCCATTCAGATTCTGAGTCCGGGCGGCGCTTGGAGGCATCAGACATCGCTTGCTTGACCTCTTCAATCACACCAGCAGCGTTGACTGCCGTTCCACGTCCATGGATGTGATGAGAAATCTTCATCACCAAACGATTGCCCTGCTCATGCACCACTGCTCTATGAAGGAGCTCGGCTGCGCGGTCCATCTCTGGCTCCGTTAAGGCGCCATCAGACACGGTGTCGCTTTTGGACATCTTTGAGGCACGGCCGGACATCCTATCTATGCAGGCAACTATGTCACTCCGTCGGCGGAGATTGGAAGCTTTACTGAACTGCCCAAATGCTGCACTATTTTCATCGGCTGCATTCGGCTGGCAAAACTCTATACAAGTGCTTTGTCGGAAAACTGCATGATTACCCTTAAGGTTATCATCCGTACTCACAGGTTAATTAATTAAGGCCCTTACCTATCGATTTCCCCACATTTATTAATACACTATACGTGCATGGAGATTCTAACGATTGGCTTGGCACTTCGGTTGCAGCATGCTATTGCTTTGGCAAAATGCCAGGGTCACCTTTCGCCTTTTCCTTTCGACCTGATTCAGTGCATGGTTTGATGTGGTATGTCCACCTTTGAAGGATGTCAAACAAGGGACGATGATCAGCTTTTAACTTTGTCAAAGAATCTGCGGCCATTCTCAAATTGTTGATCCAGAAGGCAAGTATGTTTTGATTTTCCATAGTTTCTTTTGCAATGGCATAATCAATTTGAAGCCTACGTTCAACTGATATCGACTGACTGCAGCAACTTCGGGTTATGGCGTCATAAAATCCCTTTGAATCCATTACAATGGCGGCTGGATTTTCAGGTTTGAGATTACGAAACTCTTTGGGGGACACTCCATGAAGGGTTTCAGACATGAGAGCCTGAAGCATTTCGATGGCGTCAAGTCCATTTTGACCTGCAAGAGTCTCTGCTGCTACTGAAGATCTGACGGCACGGCGAAGCTTCTTAGAGCTCCAATCCACGATCCAACACCGGGCTGGCCTTTGTTCAAGCATTGGACTGGCTACCAGGCACAACAAGTATCCGCCCTGTGATTCACCATTACCCCTTGTACCCCAACCCGCATCTGTGATGGCCATTATGCGCCAATCTTTGATGGGAACATCGCTTGGGAACTTGAGGCATACACGGTTCTCTTTCATCTCTCGGACTGCCTTGTTGTATAGCTGGATGTGCGAGACACTTCCTTTGTCCTGCATTCCTTGCAAGTAAGACGACAAGAATGCTTGATCGGGTCTGGTGCTGTTTGCGACCCATGCAAGCTGTCCAGCACATTGTCTCAAAAGACTTGGATTGGTTAACGCAGTGCCAGCACTCCCCAATTGTTTGGTGGGAACTTGATTGAGACCATCAATATAGGATTCCTGTCCTATCTCTATACTATAATTGGTTGGGTCCTGTCTGATTTCTACCCCAGTATATCGAATTGTGAAAGTACGATAATCCCCAAATGGCAACTTGCGCTTGAGCTGGTTCAAGACTGTGTCCATTTCCTTAGTACCGCCACCTAGGATATCATCAACATGTATTCCACAAATACCAAGCAACTTTCCTGATTTTCGGAGGGTAAAAAGACATGGGTCTAATTTACTGTGGGTGAGGCCTACGGAACTCATTTCTCTAGTGAGGCGCAGAAACCATGCTCGGGGTGCTTCTGCTAATCCGTATGCCGCCTTTTCTAATTTCATTAGATCCCCTTCATCTAGTTTCATCCACTGCCGAATTTCTGGAGGAGGCTTGAAGTAGATTTCACGACTTGATGGGTCTCCTGACAAGAACGCTGTTTTGATATCGGCTCCCCACAACACCCAGTGCATTGCAGGACATATTGAAAGGACAAGGGACTTGGATTCCTTCCTAAGTGTTGGGCTATCTGTTGCGATCCTCCCTAACTCTGGATCCTGCCAACCTACCAAAACCAAACGGGCTTTTGGGGTCTGCTGTTTCACGTCAGGGTCTGATGACTTTTTCCATACCAACACCCATCTAGCTTTGATGATTCTTTCTGTTGGGATCCCACGAGACTTACAAATAGTGGTGACTTTATTTTCAACCCATGAATTCCATTCCTTTTGCATGGCACCTTCAAACAACCGTTTATCTTCGGGGCTCAACTTACGGAAGTTTACTTCTACCCTGCGTTGTTTGGCTGCTGCAGGGGTTGCCATGAAACATTCATCAAGAATTCCCCATAGGAAGTTTGGATTGTCACTCACATCAGTTGCAAGGATATCTAGGGATACTTCCAAGACTTGTTCAACCCTTTTGCTATTAACCATCAATCCATCATCATTATCCGGGACTGGAGTATTGATTGGAATGCTGGGATCTACTGGAACACTGCTGGAACCTAAAGCGGCACCTGCTTCGGCTGACGGTGCATGCACGGCTGACTCGGCTTCAGCTCCAGGACTTTCAGTTGGCTCCACAGCAACAGAAGATGGTTCTACAGGGGGGTCCATTATTTCATCAGGATTATCTTCTCTGGGACTATTAGCTGGGGTTGTTGGTGCATAGTCATCATCACGTTGTTGTTCTGCTTCTCCAGTGTTTAGCTTTCTGCGGTGAGCTGGGCGCTCATCTCGGAATTCTTCTGGAATTGTTGGCATGATTGTTGGTTGTGCGCCCTCTTGGATGGAACCCAGGGGTGGCATTCCTCTACTGCGTTTTTGCCAATACTCTGTGGATCGGTTAATACGCATTCTTACTTTACGGGGTGCAGGAAGCCCATCATCGCCCTCCAAGTTGGGACGTTTGGTGGATTTTCGAGGCTTGTCCATCGGGTCATCATCGTCATCGTCGCCATCATCTTGTTCATCAGGTTCATCAATGACATCCTGTTCAAGCTCAAAGTCATCATCATTTGGGAGCTCTTCTGTACAGTCATGGAACTGGCCAGCGCGCTCTCGCAAGTTCTGCTCTGCAGCTTCTACGTCAGGATGCAACCTACCTTCTGCTAACTGCTTGGCTAGACGACGGAACTCCGATTCATCTTCAGGGACTGGTCGTAAACCCTCGGGTGAACATTTGTACAAAAACCCATTCCAAGCTACCCAAACAACACGGGGAACATGATGTCCTCGGGAACTTTCACAACCAATTACCGTACCGGGACCCTTCCAATATCCATTACGAGTGGTCAATTGGCCTTTGCCTTTTCTTCTAAACAGATACACTAATTGACCTGGCAAGTAAGGACCTCGGAGTGGCCTGTTCCTACCGGAGATGGCTCTACGCCACACATCTTTGGCATGTGACTCTTGGAAGGCTCTGGCTGCATCCTCTCGGAGATGCATCTTTGCTTGGAAAGACGGATCTGCCAGTATTTGAGACTGGACTGCAGGATCTTCCTGTGCTTCGACGTCAACAAGCCATCCCGCATGACGGGTATCATGACCAAGGAACCATTGGGCAGGGCTGTAACCAGATTTTCTCAACAGAGAGTTTCTCACACTGGAACATGTTTCATTCACTTTTTCCACAGGACGACTTGTTGTTCGCCAAACGCGGCGAGCCATGTCACGCAGGACTCTGTTGGCGATTTCAACACGACCAAGCTGCCAATGACTATCAGCGGCGCAATGCAGTAGGTTTATGCCATTGTGCATCATGTATTCTTGGAAATCCTTAGACAAGTTTATCTGGTGTGGGTCCATATAAATTGTCCTAGGGGCTCCATAGGGTCTAGTCCATACTGCATGAAACGCTTTCGACAGATTGTTTGTACCGGTCTCAGGCACGATAATCTGCTGGCAAAAGTCCGTGGCAAGACACACACAAGTCAGGGCATTGAATTTCCGCTCCAACATGTCACCGTTCTCTTCCTCTCTTTTGACCTCTATCTGAACGTAATCAACAGCCACAACTTGATTGGGTTGGTCAGCATGAGGCATTGCTGCATTACGTCTCAAGGTTGGCAATTTGAGTTCTTCACAAACCGGACAATGGAAGTTACGGATGACATCTTTTATGGTGTCTGACGAGTGGCATCGGTTGGCCAGGCGCATCATCTGTTCCGGTGATGAGTGTCCTGTGTTGATGTGCAACTTTGTTACTATCTGCTTAGCTCGTGCTCTTGTTTCAGATGCTGGTTGAACTTCGGCATCACCGGCTGGTGCTTCAACTGGCAAACCATCTGCATCAAACTCATCATCCAGTGCATACACGTATTCCTGTGTGCTTGCTGTCGGAATATCGGCTTGCTGGACATCTTGGACTATCAGTTCAGAGATGATGTTACAAAACTTTGTGGGGTAAGTTTCAGCTATCTTGGACAAGTTTATCCCCTTATACTTACCCTCCAGATGGCCATGATTGTGCCGGTGGTCGCATCTGTACAGTTGCATGCTTTCGGCAAGGCTTTGCTGCGTAGTCACCAGTCTCGTTGGTTTCAGAACTGGTAACTTGGTTTTCGGACACCGAAGTCCCATGGCACATTGATCAACACGGATGTCATAGACTTCACCTAAGTGCAGTTCTCCCCAAGCTTCACTAATAAGGGGGTTTTCTCCATGACAATGACCTCCAAGAGCTGTTTGGAGTGCCCAGGCTTCAGTATCGGCATGCAAATGTCGGCGGGCCTTCGCCCTCTGAGCTAAGATTCGATCACGGCAAGAACCACTCCTAGTCATGTTGAACCTACTCCATGGTCCCCAACACCCGCATGGAAAAGAGAACCAAACATGTCGTGGCCTTTTGTATGCAATCAAGGTCATGAGCATTCTACGGTCTTTCAACTGATCTAAATCATGTCCATAGTCATAACCAATTTTGATACTAGGCAACTGGAGTTTTTGCTCAACCCGCTTGGCTAGGGGGGCTTTACCAGTGAACACCTCCAGGAATTGGATGGGCTGATCCAAGGCACTGCTTTGTGGTCCTAGCCATTCTGCTAGCTCCTGACGCACGGTTTCCGGTTCTTCAAGAACCCTTGTCATGACCAGCTGAGCCTGAGTCCTACGCAGTGACGACACGGCTGAAAGCAGTTTTTCCTGGGATTCTTTTGACAACTGTTTTGTGTTAATGTCCAACCAGTCCATTTCTTCATACAACACTTCTATGTCATCCCCACAACTATCCCCATCACGTCCCTCGTGACCTACTTCTAACTCACTGCAACAGTAACAGTTAGGCTCAGCCGGATGGTCCAAAGACCTTGGCATTTGGTCGGATGACTGTGGTGAGTCAGGTTTTTCGGACAGCTTAGCTGTCACGGGGCGATATGCAAACATGGCAATGCTCACATGTGGGACACGGCTTCTGGTGGATCCTGCAGGGCGAACTGACCATGAGGAAACTGAGAACTCTCCTTCCGGTGTCAAGGTCAGAACAGATTGTTGGATCTCAACATCTGCAGCTATGTTGGGGATTCTTTCAAGTTTGGGCTTATATGCTATCATGGCATGCGAAACCTCAGAACTTGAAATACCATAGATTGTTTTCAACTCTTCTTGAAACCGTTGAACATCAACAACACCATTCTTTGTGTTTTTGGCTATATGCTGAAACGCTCTACGCCTATCCCCGGTAGTTATCTTCCCTTTTTGTGGTGATCTACCCTTATTACCCATTGGCTTTCTGGTACACTGGTCCTCGGTGGAACCAGGGCTTTCCATGGGCACGGATGGCGTCGGTGAGTCGGCAGGGTCAGCATCATCATTGGGCTCATGTTGGTGCAGGCAAACATCTGCACGGATCATCGTTTCGGCAAGCTGGCTTTCTTCAACATGGAGATCTTCAGGAATTTCATACAAGGGCATCAAGAAATGACCATTGGCTGCCTGCCTCAGAGGCGTGTTGAACATGCCATGTGGTTCACTGGTGATCGACTTGTTGCCCAAGTCAATACAGGCTTTCATTCCTTCCAGAACTCTACGGGACAGCAGGAATGGCGTCTGTCCAGGCACAAGGTATGTAGTGACAGATCCCCACAACTTACCAAGCTTGACATGCCAACGTAAACCAGTTGTAGTCTCAACTTTTCCACCCTGAAATCCTTTCAACTCCACAGGAGGCAGTTCGCAGGCTGTCGGCTGCGGCAGGCTACGTTTCTTCAGGAAGTCCTTGAACTTTTCGGCAGTCTCGCTACCAATCACTGATGTTGTACAACCTGTATCAAGGATTGCGTGTCCTTCAGGAATGCTGGCTAACAGAACTTCCTCGGAAGTCCATGTACTGGCAGAGGTTGCAAAACTGCTGGAAGCTTCAACCATGTATGCAAACGAACTAACCAGAATGGACTCGGTCATGTTGGCCTCTTCCTTCTTGGACTGACGACCTGCTTCTTTCTGCCTACTCTTGGAAAAAGGCTTGCTACTCGATGGCTTTTTGTCATACTTGAAAGTGCTTTTCTGCAGGGGCACCTGAGTCTGTGAAGGCTGAGAAGACTGGCTGGCATCCTGAGGTTGGTTGAGTGCTACCACAGGATAGTATGGTTGCCGGTTTCTTTTCAACTCCTTGACTCGTTTCTTGGTTTCTTTGTAAGTCTTGAATGACTTACGGAACTTCTCTTTGGATTTTCTCTGCAGTTCATACACTTCTTCAAGTTCATTTCTGAATTCTTCCTCACTTGAATCCAGCTGGTCAACGTCCATGACATCATCGCTTTGAGAATCATCGGACTCACAAGCAACACCCAGGCTGGATGAATCACTCTCAACTGCATGAACTTGTTCTTGGACTGCATAAGCTTCTCGGCGGCCGGGACGTTGAGCTCGACGATCATCATGCTTGGGCTTCTCTTCCAGATCTGAAGCTCTCAAGATACGTTCAACATCAACAAACCTCGAGGAACCATTTGTCGATCGAACGATCTGTGCTCTTTGTTCTCGGGAGAGGCCATACTTACGCATGAACAGATGACCCAAGACAGACTGTGGAAAAATCGGTCTGGGCTTGATGTGCCCCATTTCCAAGGTTCCCAACATCTGCTTCATCTTGAGTTGTGATTTGGCCCAGTCAGCTTCATATGTACCATGAGTGCTATGTTGTTTTCTCCTGGAACCTCGACCTGTGCTTGCAGCAGACTCGGAAGTGGTCCGACGACCTTCAGGCTGTGCATGCTCGGCTGTTCCAGTCTCGGTGGCACGTGGTGCATCGGCTGGCTGTGACGGCTCGGATGCTCTAGGCTCGGCTGCTGGCACGCTAGGCACGGCTGATGCCGCTGCTGATCGGTGGGACGCAGCATCATGCTCTGGTCCAGTACCTTCGGATGCAGTATGCTCCATTTCACTATCGAAGGCTTCATCCACAGGTGGGATGTCCGGTGCTTTGTCAGTGGTTCGACGGCGCTTGGACTTGGTCATCTCACGTTCCTGACTGATCAAAGTCTCTACTCTGGCAAGTTGAGTCCTGAACCTACTTGCGAAGGCAGTTGCTCCTTCGCCTTGTCTTCGTTTCAAGGCAAACAGAAACTCATCTATGCTTTCATGCAACTCCGTCTCAGGAAGGTACTTGTAGTGCTCGTCCAAGGCTCGAATCACTATCATGAAACCTTCAGGCGATCGTAACTGAGAGATATTGAGGTGCTCAGTAGCACGCCATGCTTCACCGCTCAGTCGCGAGAGGAGTCGAGGACCTGCAAGGTGTGAGTGCTTATCCTCTAACCCAGCAATCGCCAGAAGTGTCTTTCGACGAAAGTCACGGTACCCAGAAGGTTTCCCATCAAAGGTAATTCCATTCAAGGCATCTTTGCTGCCCTCCATTGAGGCAGCCACCAGTTGACCGTAAGGTCTGTTTCCAGGCTTAGGACTGATGTCCTCACTAACACCGCAAAAGCGGAAGCGGAACCCGCTCCGCTACCATGAAAACTCGGGAGCGAGTTAGATACTCAGTAGTTAGGGGTTTATCCCTCACACAAATCCAATCCCACACTCAAATCTCTTTTCACCAATCACCAAGCCAAGTCTGGCTTCAAGGGCCCTGTGAGCCATAGATATTGCGAACACTTCCCTATCAGACATGTGCGTGTCATCCTTGCAATGCCAGCGTGGCTGAACAGAGCACAGGTTTTCATAATGACCATCCCCCTTTATGGGTGTAAAAAGTCCAACTTTTGAGCGAAAAACTCGACTCGACCATCACTGGTTGGTGGTTTCAACCTATCCCTCTGGAAACCTTCTCCAGATATTGTTGGTGATATATCCAATTAATCCATGCTATCCTCAGAAAAAAAAACAATTTAAAAAACATCCGAAAGTCACCTGAGTCTGAGACTTCCCGGTTGAGGATTTCGACAGTAACTGTGCCTGAGCCACTTTTTGGTTCCAGGCCTGGTGTGCCTTGAGACGTCTCTGATGTTTTTGGGGGTAACAATTGACCTGAAAATTCCTAACTGGTTGGTGGTGCAATGTGCCCATCTTGAAAATGATGGAGTTCGTCAATGGGAAGGATGACATCCCATTTTTGTGAAATGGAAAAAACATGTTTGAAATCAGCAACTAGCTAACCTTGACCTTGCGAATTACTATATATGGGGGGCAATACCTATAAATACCTATTTTTGGGTGGGGGTGAACATCCAGTTACCAGCTATTTTGATGTGAACAACATGGGTACAAGGTTTGACCCATCCCCAAAGACAACTCTCCCAATCTTTCGGAGCAGTGCGAAGGGATTTCAATCACTTGGACAGTCCAATGAACCTTTCAGGGAACAAATTGCACAACACCGTGTTTGAATATGCAAAATAAGCCACATACTGTGGATGGTCGCGACATCCTGCACTACTTGGTAACTATTGGCAACTATGAAACACTGTAAATAATGGGATTCAAAGGGGATAAACCATAAAAACATCCATTTACCAACTGTTGCAGGATTTCCTCCATCCACAGTATCAGTGTGGGATTTATCCCAGATTCCAAGAACGGTTCATGTGGTTATTAGCCATGCGTTTCTGGGTCCCAAAGCATCCACACCGTAAACGCCATGTAGGATTACAAGTAGACAACAAGTTACAGTAGGAAGTTATTTGCACCAACTTAGCGTTCACGAACTGGGACACCATCCTGTACTTATAAATCTTATAAATTCCTATGACCATCTGGTTATTTAACATAGCCATGGAAAATCCCGAAAATACATGGAGGTTTCCAGCTGGGAAAATCATCTATTTCTATGGGCCATCTTCCATGGCTATGTTAAATAACCAGAGGGTACATCATTGTTTTTGGTGGCTAATTCCCCTATTTTTCATGGGCTTTTTGCCACCATTCGGAGCAAGTCGCAGCGTAGCAATTCTGTCAAGTCACCCCTGGAGCTCTGTGTTGCTGGCGGCCAAATCTCCCCAGCCTGTGATGCAAGATATGCCAAGATAAATTGGAGTTATTTCCCACAAGATGGTGACACCCCTCAGTTATAAGTTGGTTTATAAACCATAACCCCCATGAAAACTAGTTCGTTATATCTGCTATAAACCATAGATTTCAGCCACTTTTAGGCGTTTCGGTTCACGCGAAGTCGACTGGGGGCTCCATCCTGTGTATATCTACCATAGTGAAATTGGAGTTATTTGCACCAACTTAGCTAACAAACTAAGGCACCACCTTGAAGGGAAGATTGTAACATTTATGGGATTTAGTGGGATCATATTGGGATGTTCATGGATTTGTGATTGGAGTTCATGGGATTTTAACTGGATTTTAAAACGATTATTGAATGGGATTTTTTGGAATGGGAATCTGGGATAACATAGATCCGAAAAACATTGGTTGATAGTCTTGAATAGTGATTGATAGTGATTAGCCTCCAGTAAATTAACATAGACCCTGCCAGATAGGGGTTGGAAGATTAGTTTCCACTATAAATTGGTGATTTTCAGCGTCTATGTTAATTTACTGAAGGGTAATTCATAGTGGTAATAGTATTTACCCATGAAGAACTTCATGAATTTTCCCAGCTTGTTCACCATAGCAGATCCCGGGGTTTCCCCAAACGGTGCCACCCGCCATGATGTGAATTTTGGTATACTAAATCAGTACCCCATATGCGAACCATAGGAATATGCATCAACATGTACCCCAAAAATCAGCCCATTTTTGTAAATATACCAGCAGCATGGTTCGCATCTGGCTTATGAACCACTATGAATTCCCTCTGGTAAACGTTAACAACTATGGAAAGATCCACCAGTTTGTAGCTGGGAAAACTCACTATTTCGACTGGGCCATTTTCAATAGCTATTTTGACAAATTACCAGAGGCTACTTTCTCGCTATACCCAAAAAAAATCGTAAGGTCTCACCTCAAGGAATCCCTGGTTCGAAAAACCTCGATGACTCGATGGTTTCCATAACTACGCAGTGTTCAACAGCCGTCATAGAAAATACTGCCAACGGGGATTCCCTAATGGAGTGTGATGATCAAAGATATATTGCTTAGTATAATCCCCAATGATTTTTTTTTGAAACAACCCAAATTCATCATTAACCAACCATCATGTATTTGGTATATCCATGTATATCCTCCTATATTCTCATTATTTTCATGCTTAAAACATCTTAAAACCCTATGAAATGACGAACGAAACATCAACCAACAGAGGTTTTCCTCCCAGCTCAACTCATTGCGATCTGAAAAAATCCCTGCTTTCTGCTTTCCGGTGCAACCTACCGTGGATGGGCCAGCGAAATCCTGCACCAAAAGGATGGTGGAAACATGTGGAAACCCTATACAGAATGGGATAAACTACCGTTTTCAACTGGTGACAACCGGATTTCGCTGGCCCGTCCACCGTATCTCAGACTTGGAAAGTAGGAAATGCCGGAAGAGTTCACACACTAAAAACTCCAAAGCTGTCCAAAAAAATATGGTTTCTATGAAAATGATCTCAGTCCCCAAGTCCGTGGATCCAGTTTATCCCTCGGGTAGATATCCTATGTCAGAATATAAAGTATTTATTGGTGTGTATATCCCCATGACAGATCATGACAGTATATCCCACTTCCATGGATCCGGATATTTAAAAAATCGACCGAGCAGTTCCACTATAAAATTTGTGTGGCTTAGATTTCAACATAGGGGCCCAAGGGCCCAATATCCCAACTTATTGAAGCGAAAATCCCATAGTTGGAACCATGAACATAACCCCATGGTTATAGTCCATGATATCTCCATTAAATCCAATTCAATTCCATTAAATCCAATTCAATTCCGTGGTTTACGATGTTCTTTTTAGATCTATCAATGGTCAATGGGAAGGAAACACGGTTTTCCTTCAGATTTTTACCTTTCGAGGTTGTAAGCCCTGATGCCCCTGCGCAACACGTGGCGGTGTGACTATCCCAACCTCGTAGGCCGCATCAAAACAGCTATAGGCAACATGAAAAAAAAACATGGTGAAATGTATAGCAGCCAAAAAAAGCTATAGAAAAATCAAATCCTGCTAAAATCAATGGATTGGTTTAAGGGAAAATCTTAACCGGAAACCATCGATTTTCCAATTAAATATGAGGTTTTCCTGTATATTTTCCCTAAAACCAATCCATTGCTAAAACAATAATAAATTATATGGCTACTATATGTGCCAAGGATAGATGGATGTTTCAGGGGCATAAACCCAAGAACAATGGGACAATTTTTCGCCGCAAAACCCGTTCCGTTTCTGTTCCAATGAGCCAGAGCTTATCATATATCAGAAACTTGAACTAAGCATGTCACCATGTCGTTGGAAAATAAACAATAACAATAATAATATTATAGTTATTTGTATATGATGTGTATATATATATATGTATCTGATGTATGTATGTATGTATGTATGTAAGTATGTATGTATGTATGTATGTATGTATGTATGTATGTATGTATGTATGTATGTATGTATGTATGTATGTATGTAATGTATGTAATGTATGTAATGTATGTAATGTATGTAATGTATGTAATGTATGTAATGTATGTAATGTATGTAATGTATGTAATGTATGTAATGTATGTAATGTATGTAATGTATGTAATGTATGTATGTATGTATGTATGTACGTACGTACGTACGTATGTATGTATGTATGTATGTACGTATGTATGTATCTGATGTATGTATGTATGTATGTATGCATGCATGCATGCATGCATGCATGCATGGATGCATGCATGTATGCTTTATTATTAGTAGTGATGCTTTATTACCCTATGGTCAGGAATATTATCATTAGTATTTATCATAAAATATGTCCATTCTTATAATTCTTATGTATTCCAAATTATGGTTTACAAACCCGTCCAATTGTAGGCATATCCATCATAAATCCGACATGTCACCACATCATTACAAACCAACGGAAAAAGTACCATTTCTGTTGGTTGAACATCACCAGTAGGCATCAGCCAGAATACATTGCAACTGTTGCAACTATAATTACTAAACCATGACCCATGTAAGCTGCAATTGATATATAACCTTACTTGCAGGAGATATAGTCCCATGTAATTATAGCTGTAAGAATGTAGTAAGGGCCAAAACAGTAACTGTTGACAGAATTAGCGACTCGTGGTTAGCAATTGGTTTCTTAACTAAAAACCTGGCATGTATTGGGATATGTCATAGGAATTCACCCCCAATGGTGGCCCCCAACAACAAAGGTTGATTCAGGGTTTAAGCACCGAATTCATCACTGATCAGGGCGTATCATTCATCGATTCTTGGAGGATCACCTTCTTGGGGGAGTTGAATCCAGGTGGTGTCCAGAGCTTTCGAAGCCATAAACCCAAGAGTTACCCATAATCAACCAACAGTTAGCCATAACCCATTCCCATAAACCCAACAGTTAGCCTACAAGGTGCTCCCCCCTGGTTATGTGAACGTTGGCGGATTTCATACCCATGAATACTAGTTCAATATAACCCCATTCATCAACCCAACAGTATTGGACTTATAAACGTACCAACTTAGCCGACTAATCCATCCATAAGTCACATTTGTTCTTGGTTAAATCATGTTAAACCAGCATTTTCCCCATGGGTTTTGTGAACTGGGAGGCACCAGGCATCCCTACGTGCGCATGGATTGCCCTTCTCGGACACGTCCTGGAGTGGTGTCCAAACATTCCATGGGATTTATAAAGGATTTACCCTCTGGTAATTTGTTACATAGCTTAACCAATAGAAATGGTGATGAAAAACCTATAGAAATGGTGGTTTGACCACTAGAAATGGTGATGTAACCTCTGGTAATTTGTTACATATAGCTATGGAAAATGGCCATAGAAGTAGTTGATTTGCCTATTGAAAATGGATAGTTTCCATAGCGAACCGTTAGTTTACCAGAGGGTATCCAACGAGAGGGCTTGAAATCAACTTATAAAGTAAATTCCAATCAGAGCAAAATGGCCACGGGAGTACCCATAGGTATGTGTGTATATATATATACATATAATTTACATAAACGTAATTATGTAATTATGTATATGTATGTTATTTCAGCATGTCCACGTGAACATCCAGCTCCACTCAGCACAGAACATGTCCAATCGACTCCGCAGGGAATCTTCAGCTGTCGAGGAAAAGACGCCCGCCTGTTCGACATAGGAATGTCGTGTTGAATATCTGCGACCAGTTTTATTACTGGTAGCGGAGCTACCAAAGGTAGCTCCCCCAGGTTAGGACACCTGGGAGATTTGTCCACGTAAGCCATGGCGAGCTCTTCGTCAGTCGAGGCGACTGCTGGTAAGGTGTTTACAGGTGACACCGAAGATGCACAAGAATATAAACGTTGGAAAACATGGGTCATGAACAAACTGATGACTTTAGAGTCAAAGGTGCCTGAGAACGCTCGTGGAGCGTACATATACACACTGCTTGGGGGCAAAGCCTTAGAGTGCATTGAACACCTGGAGCCTAGTGAGTATCAGACAGCCGGCGGAGAAAAAGTCATCCTTGGCCTTCTTGACCGTCGTTTCCCTCAGAAGGACACGTCAGACGAGATGTCTGAAACTCTTACTGCGGTGTTTGGGTTACGTGCGAGTGAGGGAGAAACACTGAAGGTGTGGATTTCAAGAGCTGGTGAACTGTTTGACAGGTGTCAGAGAAAGTGCAAGGTAAGCTTTCCCGAAGAAGCTCGAGGATGGTTGATCCTCAACCGTTCAGGCCTCAACGAGGAACAGAAGGCTGTTGTGCTAGCTCGGAGTGGAGGTGTACTCAAGCAGGAGGAAATTGGACGCTCTATGAGGTCATGTTACCCAGAATATGTTGTGCCAAAGAAACGTAGCTTTGGGGCCGGTCTGATTGAGGCCACGGATGATGCAGTCGCTTTGGATGAAGAAACCGAGTCAGTGATCCAGGAGGTTGAAGCGTTGCTTGCCGACCATGACGAGCAAGCTTGTGATGAGCCTGATGAAGTTTTCGAAGAAAGTGAAGTAGCCGAAGCCCTTGCCGTCACTTGGAAAGAAAAGAGAAAAGAACTGGGTCGACTGCAACGCAGTCGGAAGTTTGGGCCTTCTACTGACCTGCGCAAATCCTACAGAGTGGAGATTGAGGAGCTGAAGAAGAAAACTCGATGTCATAAGTGCCAACAGATTGGCCATTGGTCGAGAGAGTGCAGATCTGGTGGAAAAGGAAAATCAAAGGGTTCAGGTGGTAGCAACACTGTCAAGTCAAGCGACACAGGTGCAGCAGTTGTGGAACACTTCACTGAACATTTTGTGGCAGCTGTGTCACTGGATGATGGTTTTGAGAAGTATGACACTTTGTCAATTCTGCGACAAAAGCGAGCCGCCCGTGTCATGATGTCACCGCCCTCATCACCCTCATCCTCGACTTCCTTGTCCGAGGTTTTGCTGGTGAGTTCCCCAGGTTTTGGGGTGATCGATTCTGGCTGTGGTCGAACAATTGTGGGTCTGGAGACCCTGAAAGAATTTGAGCAGCTCTGGCGTGCCAAGGGCATTCCAATTCCTGTGCCTTTCCCTGAGGTGAACCATTTCAAGTTTGGAAATGGTCAACGAGAGACCACAGATTCCTCAGTGAAACTCCCAGTTGTGATTGCTGGCAGATCCGGCAGCATCAAAGCAGCCATTGTGAAGGGATCGGCGCCACTGTTGATTTCCAGAAATGCACTGCAACTGTTGGAGGCTGTTGTGAACTTTGGTCGGAATGAGCTCTCATTGTTTTCAGATCAGATCACGGTCCCTTTGACCATCAACGCAGCCGGCCAGTATGCGATCAATCTGCTCGACCAGGTAGGTGATACGAAGCAGCCCTTTCAGGAAGTTCTGATGAACACCACCACTGAGCCTTCGAAATCCTCAGAGCCATCCAGGCCAGCACAGTTATCTGCCGACACAAGTGCAGGACCGAACTCTGACTTGCAAATATGGACAAGAATGGATTCCTTTTTGAACCAGACAGTTACCACAGGTAAGCAAGGTCCAGCTTGGCAATCCGTTAGGCGTAGGAGGGTTCTGAATAGTGAAACTCATGAAGTTCTTTTTGATGAATGGATATCTCCACATCATAAGAAAAGTAGGTATCATCACGCAATTCCCAAGGAAGTGTTGCATGTAACCACTGAGTTTCAGTTCATCCCTCAGGAGAAGACGTCCACTTTTGAGTGTATGCCCGTTCACTGCCAGCGTCAACTGAACGCACAGATCCGTCAGCAGGTGCCTGAAGTTAAGTCCAAGATAGATGGTAAGCCCTTTTTGGTCGCAGAAGTGTTTTGTCCACCACGTTTTGCACCACTGGTAGAAGGTGTCAAAGGTGTTTGTCGGTCGTATGACTTGTCCACGGGCTATGACTTCTCCAAACCTGCTGTAAGGGATCAAGTAGCTCAGGAACTGCGTGAGAATCCTCCCGATTTGCTTGTGCTCAGTCCACCATGCACACATGAGGGAGGTTGGTTTAATTTGAACGCGTGCGCAATGGATCCTCACGAGTACGCTCGCAAAGTGCGGCAAAGTCGTTTGTTCATTCGTTTTTGCAGTCAACTGTTTGAACAACAGGTCAAGCTAGGTGGTAGAGCACTCATGGAGCATCCGAAAGGATCCAAGTTGTGGTCGTATGCAGAAATCCGTGCCCTGATCGAAGAGCATCACCTGCTGACGTGTCACATGTGTCGATATGGTTTGCATATACCAAAGAGCAAGCAATTAATCCGCAAAGCGACAAACTTGCTGGTCACACATGAAGACATGAAAACCCTGGCTCGTGAATGTCCTGGCCCTCAACATCCGAAGCATTCATGCCACCAGGTGATTGCTGGATCCGACCCAGAAGTTGGTCAGATCAGTACGTTTGCCGGAAAGTATACACCACAATTTGTGGAGGCAGTCATGGAGACCGTGCCTCGTTTTGCTCAGATGAAACTCGAGTGCCTTGCCGTGTGCCCAGAATGGTCTGCAAAGCAGGTGAACGAAGTTTTAGCTGCAAAGCCTGATTTGTCCAGTGAAAGATCTGATGCCGATCTTCTTAAGATCATTGACAAAGTGCACCGAAATCTGGGTCACCCTCCGACTCATGACATGGTTCGTATTTTCAAGCATGCACAGGCTTCGGACCGAGCTTTGAAACTGGTGCACCAGCACAAATGTAGTTTTTGTCAGTCCCAGATCAAGCCACATGTGCCCTTGCCTGCCAAGTCATCACGTCCCCGTGAGTTCAATCAATCAGTAGGAATTGATGTCAAGAATTTGAATGGATGGCTTCCCAATCAGAAAATCAAAGCTGTCAACATTGTTGATCAAGCCAGTTGCTATCAAATCATGGTGCCTTTTCATGAACGGGAAACCTCCGAAGTCATCCGAAGTGCCTTTGCAAATCATTGGGTAAAAGTGTTTGGTCCCCCCAAAGAAGTAATTCTGGATCAAGCTCAAACCAATCTAGGTGAGGGTCTTCAAGGTTACCTCGAAGGTCTTGGCACTCACGTGCATCAAATTGCAGGGGAAGCACACTGGCAGCTTGGCAGAACCGAAAATCATGGCGGGTGGTTTTCCCGCGTGCTGGACCGTACCATGGCTGAATTTGCACCCAGTACTCGTGCTGATTGGGAGACCTGTGTCACTCATGCTCATGTCAAAACACCATGATACAGTCATATGGTTATACCCCTCACCAGTATGTGTTTGGGCGCAACCCTGATGTTCCTAGTGATCTCATGAGTGAACCTTTACATGTTGTCCCGGCAACCCTTGGTTTGAGTGATGAAGCAGTGGCAAAGTCCCAAGCCATCAGATCAGCAGCCCGTAGGGCAGTGATTGAAACACAAGATGATGCCGCCCTGAGACGTGCTTTTTCTGCCCGTCCCCGACTGCAACAGCAGTTCCAGCCAGGAGATCTTGTTGCTTACTGGCGTGCCCAAAAGTATCAGCAAGGTCAAGTGTGGCTAGGTGGACGTTGGTATGGTACCGCCATAGTTATTGGTAGCGTCGGTAAGAACTATGTAGTAGCACATAGGAGACAGATCTTTCGAGTGGCCCCGGAACAACTCAGACCAGCCACTACTGAAGAAAAAGCTCTCCTTGAAACACCCCAGGCTGAGCTGTTGGGAGTGAAGGATCTCTTGGAGGGTGGAACGTTCCGCAGTCATCAGTATATAGATCTGGTGCCAGCACATTACCCTCCAATGGCTCCTGGTCCTGACGACCGTAGTCAACCACGCGACTCACCAGTAGCTGCGCCCGCACCTTCAGGAAGTGGAGATGCCAAAACATCAGCAGCAGCGGCCGATGTTCCAATGGAATCTGAGTCTCCATCAACTGATGGACAACCAGAAGGATCGCTCAATGAACAGACTGAGAAACCAGTTGAATCCAGTAGTTCACAGTCTGCTGCACATCAGACATCCAGCAGTTTAAGTGGTGGTGACACCTCTGATGAGTCTCAGTCCCAGTATGGTCCAATGCGTCGCATACCATCAAAGAATGGCCCAGCAGCTCTGTACAGACCTCCAGCAATGCGTGAGTCAGACTTTCTCGAAATGATGAAGGAAGTGGTTCCACGTTTGCTTGAACATGCAACTAGTCCAGCAAATGCTCAGACTGATTCTCAGAAGCGACCCTTGGAGAGCCCGGAATCATCCGTTGAACCACCCAACTCACGTGCTCGCATCGACGATGCTGAAGCTCTGAGTGTGCATGAAGCTCTGTCAGTTGAAGAGGTCAATGAACTATGTCACCAATGGGAGAATCCGCAAGTTCCTATAGAAGTCATGTTGGTTAATTATTTGCAGAAGAAGACCAACAAGGAAATTCCCCATAGCAACAACAGCACTATAGTTCAGACCATGGTAGATGATTCCAAGTTAGCCGAGTGGCAAACAATCCTGGATAAACAAGCTGTCAAGGTCCACTACGGTAGAAGAGCTAGAGAACTTGCAGAGAAACATGCTGACCGTTTCATTGGTAGTCGATTTGTTATTACCAAGAAACCCATGGAAGAAAATCAACCCATTGACGACAATGATTCGTCGACCTTCCGAATCAAGAGCAGGTGGTGTCTTCAGGGCCATCTTGACCCTGACTTAGATCGCAAAGTGCAAGACGGATTGCTACAGTCACCCACTTTAAGCCAAATGGGTAGGATGTTGACAATGCAACTTATAGCATCACATGGATGGGATCTTCAACTTGGAGATATCAAAGGGGCCTTTTTAGAAGCAGGTCCCCTGCCTGCTCGTTTTCGACCATTGTTTGCGAAGCAACCTGCCGGTGGCATTCCTGGCCTCCCTCCGGACGCCATCATAGAAGTGACTGGCAACGTCTATGGACAGAACGATGCACCCTTGGCTTGGCATCGTACCTTCGACGAAGAAGCATGTCGCATTGGTTGGGAGCGCTCAAAGTTTGACCCCTGTTTGTATTTTCTTCGAGAAGAATCAAAGCTCATTGGTGTGATGGGTGTTCATGTTGATGACACAGCCCTAGGAGGGACTGGCAAGAAGTTCAACGATGCCGTGACTGCTCTGCGTGCTCGCTTTCCGTACAGAAAATGGAGATGCAACTCTGGAGAGTTCTGTGGAGCGTTTTATCAACAGGATAAGAAAACTAAGGAAATAGCCATGAGCCAGAAGCTATTTGCTGAAAAGCTTCGACCAGCTTCCATTCCGAAGAATGCTTCTCCTGATGATTTGCTCTCCGAAAGCCAAATTCGAGTTCTTCGAGCCATTAATGGTTCTCTCAACTGGATTGCGTCACAGTCACGACCAGATTTAGCAGGGCAGACCTCAATGAGTCAGCAGGCTTTCCCTCATCCTCGCATCCGACATTTGCGGGATGCAAACAATGCGGTTCGTCGTGCCAAGATGCATAAGGATCTTACCATTAATTTTAAGCCTATTGATCCCAACAATTTGTGTGTTTGCTGTCACTCTGATGCTGCTTTTGCGAACATCGGCACACATACTCAAGCTGGTTTCATTTTGGCTTTTGTTGACAAATCCATGCATACTGGCGCCATTTCACATTGGACCCCCGCAGTTTGGCGCTCATACAAACTGCCTCGAGCAGTCAGCTCAACCCTTGGGGGAGAGAGCCAGGCTCTGGCTACGGCAACCGGAACAGTTGAGTGGCTTAATCTTTTGCTGATGGAAGCCCTTGATGGAAGTTTTGCACCACGTGATTGCCATGCCATGTTAGCTCGGAGGCCTGCCATTTTGGCAACTGACTGCAAGTCGCTGTATGACCATCTTATTTCACCCTCATCACCTACTGCTGTAGAAGACAGGCGTACCAGTATTGACATTGTCATTATTCGTGAATCACTACGACTTCTATCTGCTCAGGTAAGATGGCTTCCAACAAACAGAATGATTGCGGATGGTTTAACAAAAGATAAAATGGACCCAGCAGATTTGCTTCGGTCGTGTGTTAGAGCGGCGTCATACCAGATTTCTCCTGAGAACCATGTCCTGGCACAGCAAGCCACTGAGCGTGCCCGTCGTGCCAAAAATCGAGAGCAAGATTCCAATGAAGGGATGCAGACGTCTGGGGGTAACAGACTTCTACAAGGGGATTTTTCTGAACTTTCAGAATCAAAAACCGAAGGGTAGCCCGCAAATTTCTTTATTTGCACTCTCCTGAGTGTCTATGATGCAATTTGCTTAGGCCATGTGTTTTTGGGGTTTTGGTCAGACCGCTCCTGTCTGCACTGATCATAGGGTAGATGCTGCCAGTTGATGCCACAGATCAATTACTCATTCTTGTGCCTGTTGTTTCCCTTTTCTACGTCTGTTTCTACTTGAGATGTGACGCCAAGTTGTGTGTGAGCCTGACTATTATTTCAGCGAATCCTTCATTTGTTTGAGTCTTGATCGCCCTGTTGTGTACATCCATGTAACATCAGTGTGCAGCTGTTTTGCTAATTAAGGACCCAACCGTGTCCTTGTGGGTGCAAGCATTTCCCAGGTTTTCGTGAACGCAATGTCTCTCACGCCTGATGAGTCAGCAGAGTTGCAGCGCCTTTTGGCGAAGGCCAAAGGAAGAGCCGCACCTCCAAGAGCCTCTGACGAGTTTGAAGATCATGCCGTATATGACTCAAATACGGGTTTGTTCATTAACCAGGCCACTGGTGACACTCTCAGCATCTGGGAAGAGCCCGATTGGTCCCCAACGATTGGAGCTATGACCGATGGATCGAAGCGCCGTGAGGAGATGGATCTCCACAATCCGGCCAAGAAGTTTGTGACTCCCAAGACTCAAGCACCTTTTCCTATGCGTATCTCTGGCGAAATGGCTTCCGCTTCCTATGCTGCCAAAGGCTCTGGAATTGAGACACCCTTTCCCATGTCAGGAGAGATGCCTGTGCCTGAGAAGGGGATGCTTCCCGAGATGCCACCAGACATCTCCGATGTTGAGACATGGGGTCGCACGCTGATCAGCTTTGGTACCTACAAGAATGCCAACATGAGCTATTTTGATTTGATGGTTTCTGATGATGCCCGTGCCGTGAATTACATCAAGTGGTGTCGTGCTCACAGCAAGAATGCTCAGGGCCAGTTGCGTGATTTATGCAACTACATGATGCACTTCTACCAAGATGATATGAGCTCTGGAGTTCAAATTCCGGGCACACAGCAAGTCCGTCGTTTCAAAGCCTAGGTGTTTTTCTGGAAGAATACCATGACTGACAAAGGTCATGGAGGATGCTTGAATCCCCTTTTGAGCTGAAAGTTTATGGCATCGACATGGCCTGTCGATTTTGTCCATTTCTTCACTGGCAGAGTTTGTTCGAGCTTACAAATAATAGATTATTACCAGTGTTATTTCAGCATGTCCACGTGAGCATCCAGCTCCACTCAGCACAGAACATGTCCAATCGACTCCGCAGGGAATCTTCAGCTGTCGAGGAAAAGACGCCCGCCTGTTCGACATAGGAATGTCGTGTTGAATATCTGCGACCAGTTTTATTATGTATATGTATATATATATATAATTATATATATACTCTGGGCAAATAGTAAGAAATCGCTTCCAGTTCAAAGATCAACCCATGAATTGGCTCACTTCCAGTTACAAACCATCAGTATACGGAGCTTGATCTCCCAGAAAACGTGACATATCAACTCAGCAAATCTATTTCGCTTAATGTTCGGTGTTTTTTATGGCTCTTAAATTAAGAAATATTAAGAATCATATTGTGGACGCGAAAAATCTATGCAACATTGTTTTAGGTTATTTTGAATGATTTTGTTGAAAAACGCAATGGGACGCAAGTTTCACCACAATGATTTTGTAGGGAAAATTTGATCAGGATCTCCACAAGGGCTTCTCGCAAGGGCCTGTACCAAATCATGCAGACACCTCTTAGAGGACTTAACAAAGATCCCCACAATCACTCCGTCGAAAAAAAATGCAACGCACTGAGCCGAGATGCCTCATCCACCTTGACCGCGTCAACCTTTTTGGGCGCATCGAGTTCGCTGTGGTACCCGTGTGCCCAAAAGAAAAAGGCTTTCACATGGTCCAAGGGGGGGCGCCCTCGGCGTTCCACAGGAGGGCGGCGGCTTGTTCCTGTGCCGGTGTTCAACCGCGCAGAAACTTAATACTCACGTACTTCCGGCGGACCTACAAGAACGCAGGTAAAAATATCAATGTTCCAAACCATGTCTTCCAAAACACCAGCTGGACGCAGCACGCACCGACTTCCAGAAATCTTTCCCCCCAACTAAACTCAACAAAGCAAGTGAACGCATTGAGTTTCCAAATGGGGTGTACCCTGTAAAAAATGACAAATTCTTAGCTGGTGAACGTAGATAATCCCATTGATACCAAAAGACTATGTTGGATATTAGTTTCTACCCATCTAAGATTATCCCATTAACATCCATTAACATCCATTAACATCCATGAACATCCGTTAACATCCATTAACATCCATTCACATCCATTAACATCCATTCACATCCATTCACATCCATTCACATCCATTCACATCCATTAACATCCATTCACATCCATTCACATCCATTCACATCCATTAACATCCCATTACCCATCTAAGATTGCCCTAGGATAATGTCAATGGATTGGTTTTGTAGGGAACATGTTGCAGGAAAACCTGCCTGTTGGGATGTCATACGGGAAATGTCCTTCGTTTCCGGTTAAGATTTTCCCTTAAAAATATGTGGGAATGGGTCAACATCTATTGTAGCATATTTTGGGTGGATGAGGATCCATAAATCCAAAAACTATTTTTCAAAAGCTTCATCAGGCTATTTTACTGTGATCATTTCTGTTCCAAATTCCCATGATTGTTGGTGAATCTGCCTGCTGCGAATTGGAAAATCACTGCTCTCTCAACAAAAATCATCGGAGTTTTCGTGGCGTCAATGAGTCAATCCCCCTTTCTTCTATACATTTTATGGTGCACTTCCAATTTTATTAAGTGGATATATATGTTGATTGTGATAGCGGCTCAACATCCCAAACCTATGGAGGTTCTAACTTGGTAGCCCCAAGTAGTACCCTCTGGTAATCAGCTCCATGGCTGGAACATCCTCCATTTATGTCGATGTTTTGTCCAGCTCTAAACCTCCATGTTTGCTTTCACCACATGTGTCCTATACATATATATTCACATGATATTCCCAATTTAAATGCTGGCTTCCTAAAATAGGGGTACCCCCAGTTCTCATCCATTTTAATACGAATTGGTGGTTTCAACCCGCCTGAAAAATATGAAAGTCAGATTGAATCATCATCCCAGCTATTGGGGAAAATAAAAGCCATGTTCCAAACCACCAACCAGTACTTGTATCCTCATTTGGATTCTCAGGTAAATCCCATTCAAAGTGGTTTACCCTCCGGTAAACGTTTACATAGCTATAGAACATGGCCTATTTATACTTGAATTACCTATTAAACATTGTGATTTTCCATAGTTTATGTTAGTTTACCAGAGGGTATTCATTTACTGCACATGAATATCCATGTATGATATCCATTGAAGATCAAACAAAACCAATGAAACGGTGATTTTCCATGGTGATTTTCCATGATGAAACTAACCATTTTGTGGGGTACCCCCATGCATGGAGACCTCCATGGTCCAGTCCCCCCCTCCCCTGCCTGGCAGCCACGATACTCGCTGCCACGCCAACCATAACCTGGCGAGACTGGCTGAACAAGGGGATGCTTCAACTACAGGGGGCCCCTGTTTGATAGCTAATTTGGTTTATAAACCTTAAGTATATATATATAATGTAGTATATATATATACAATATAATATATATATAATATAATATACAGTAAATATACTTATATAATTACATATGTAATTATATATATATATATTCCTAACTATAGATAGCAAAGGTGGTGGGTTTATAACTCCAATAACTATGGTATATGATGTTTTCTTGGGGGGTTATAAACCCACCATCTTCCCTACGGATTAGGGGCACCACCTTGTGCTGGGCTGATACAAGGTGGTAGCCCACTTCTTTAGCTAAGTTGGTGGAAATGCCACTCATTAAGTATAGATATAATAGCCAGGGTTGTGCCCTACAAAAACCCTGATGCTATTCTAAGTCATAGCTGGTTAGTGGATGGTTAGTCCCCCAGATGGCAATAAGAGGTTTTGACCCATCCCCACTTGGTGGTTCATCCCACTTAGTAAGTAGGTTATCACCTTGGTTATAAATGGGATAAGTACGGTTAACCCACTTACAACTGGGGTTATAACCTACTTACTAAGTGGGATGAACCACCAAGCATATCTACGGAGTTGCAAACCAACTCAACTAACTAGTCGGGGCACCGAATCCCTCCGGGGGAATCTCTGTAAGTTGGTCGTTTTTCGGCGAAGGATTGGATTTGTGGCGGAGATATCGAACTAGTTAGATGGGGTATACCCTCTGGTAATTTAACGTAACTATGGAAAATCACCATTTTCAATGGGTAAATCCACTATTTCTATGGTCATGTTCAATAGCTATGTTAGTTTACCAGAGGGTATACTTCAAGAAGTGGCGGATACCTTCAGCGACCTTAGCAATCACTTCAGGCAATGCACAGCCACTCTGTTCTGAAGACTTTGAAACATTTTGAAACATGTTGAACGCCCAAAACTGGAGAAGATTCAGACCCCCATTTTTTTTTGGAAAATCTATATAGGAAAATCCCATTAAACCACCATTAAATGCCATACCCTTCTGCCATTGCTGGTTCACCAGAAACCAGACCCCATCCACCCCATCCAGTGGTTCCGGGGTCCAAGAAGATCATCCCGAGAGCGAAAAAACTTCACCCAGGTTTTGGGATTTTTCATGGGATAACCCCGGCCAATCCCAGGTCCTTGGCCCATAAAAAAACCCGAAAAACAGTTAGAAATAGTTTATACATATGTATATATATACTGGTTGGTGGTTGAGCCCTACCCCTCTGAAAAATCATGGAGTTCGTCAGTTGGGATTATGAAATTCACAATATATGGAAAAATAAAAAATGTTCCAAACCACCAATCAGATAATATGTATATATAAATGGGACTATAGTCCCTGAACTAAGGTCAAAAATATCACATCGATGAGGTAAGTTAGCCCGTTATCAGTGGTTGAACCTCGAGCTCCGGAGCTTGACGGTGCCACCGAAGACTGAGTGCCCCAACTCAATTCATCACAGCTTTGGGTGGCGCTCAACGAGCCGATCTGAATCTTGGAGTTGATGTGCTGATCTGCCTGCCAGGTCGGTTAGTTCAGGGTAGATTTTGGTCGAACTCATCCACTCATCCCCCGTGATAACATGAAATGCCATTACTGGTTGGTGGTATACCTACCCCTCTGAAAAATATGAAAGTCAGTTGGGATGATTATTCCCAATATATAGAAAAATAAAAAATGTTCCAAAACACCAACCAGATTATATAAAAATAGACCATGGTTTATAGATTTACACATATTTGAACCATGGAATGGTGTCTAATAGTGTCTAATATTGTGGGGAAGGGATTAGCTAAAGTAGATGGGAACATGAACAAACACCCCTGGAGTGCACCATCTACCACTGGCCAATGCTGTGGCCAATGCAGGAACTGGTGGGCTTATCATCTTCGTTTGAAAGCTACTGGTGCTTGGATCTTGGGAGATGTTTGGATGATCTGAAGGCTCCAAACTTGTACCAGTGAGAATCGGTCAGAAAAAAACAACGTCTGTTGCTGTTGGCAGAATTCGTCTAGGCCCATGTGCCAGTGTGCCATGGTTTCAAAAAAAATGTAATTGATTACGATATGTTATGGTTGTCCCACATTTTGTCGAAATATTTGGAAAAGGATATCAGGATATGTGATATATTACAGGATGGGGCCCCCCAGTTATAAGTTGGTTTATAAACCATTATAACCACCATTAACTATAGTTATATCTATATATATATATATATCAATATATATCTACCATAACCCATAGTTAAGCCACTTCTGGGGGCCCCATTGATAGTATGGTCATCCCAACATTTTTTGAAATATGTGAAACATATTACCCTCTGGTAATTTAACATAGCTATTGAAAATGATCATAGAAATAGTGGATTTTCCCATTAATAGCATGGTGATTTTCCATAGTTGCCATAGTTATGTGGCCATTTATAGTGGATTTTCCCA